TGATTTAAGAAATTTTATTGCTTTTTTTTGTACATAAATTGAAAAAATATCTTCTTGATTTTTTCCTTTTGTATATCTCATATTTTGAAAAAAATAATATGCAGCCTTAACTTGATTGACAGGTAGTTTTTTAATATTCTCAATAAGCTTTTCTTGTAATTTTTCAACATCAGAAAAATATTGTTTATTAGAATCAGATTCATTGTTAAAATTATCCAATTCTATTTGTAATTTTTGAAGATTCTCAAAACTCATCGATTCCAAAGAAGTAGTAATAGTGATTAACTTCTGTAAGTGAGAAGTATTATTAAGTTTTCAGCTCGAATTTTATAAGCATTAGACAATTGATGGCCTCTAGAATTTTTTTTATTCATTCTAATTATATATATTATGTAATTTATTATTAATTTATATTTTTAAAGTTCATTTTCATAAGCAACGATACAAAATTAATGAATAATACCTTAAATAAATCCTTTTTCATATAGATTAATATAACAGTTTTATTTTTTAAATTTAAAAATAAAACTTAAAAAACTTACATAGCGAAAAGTTAAAAAACTTAAATTTTTATGCTTAATACGGCATTTTGAAGAAAGTTAAAAAAAATTTAAAAAGAAAACTGTTATTTAAAAGAATATATACTTACAAATAATTTGATAGATACAATCTTATTGTTTGTGCCTTTCATTATGAAAATAAACTCTATCGTAAAGACCAAATTGATGATTGATATGTATTGTAGAGTAAAAAATCCACAGTAATTGATTTTCCTATGTGATATACACTATAGATGATCAACATATGATATGAAACATCCTAATGAGACAATTTTATTAAATAATTTTCATATCACGTGATAATAAATTTTGAATACATTTGACGCAATCAGATCAGACAAATATATAACATTCTTTTAAAATGATTATCCTATTTCTTATTCTCAAATAATAATATAATAAAAATGTTTGAACATATTAACGCTGAAGAAACTTGTGAAGTTTATGTTAGGTACAACGGTAAGCTTTATAATTTGCTATTTTCCTATAGTAAAATTCAGCTTTTAACCAACCTATTGATGTTTTAGCTCTTATAGATTATCTAAAAAAGCAAAGGAATAAATCTTATTGTAGATTCCTACTCTAATACTGAAACATAATTGTTGATCCTACAAATTTCTCAACTTATTGGAAGGACCTCAATGACTCATTAATATCTATCTCTTCAGTAGTTATTGATTCCTCCTCTTCTACGATCAATTCCTAAAGATAGTTTGATAGTGAATAGAAATAATGCATTTAATGTAATTATACAAATCTTGGAAAGTGATTATCAAATCAGTTTAAAAAAAAATTTCACCTCTTTATTGTCCATATCTTTATGATAGTTGTTAGATTCGTGATTGTAATTGTTAAGGATATAGTTACCTGAATCCTGTATAGCACTATTATCAATGTCAGTTAATACTTCATCATTATTGAGCTCGCGATTGTAGTTACAATATCGAATTGTTCAATTTGAACAAAAATGATAGCTATAATCAATACAACCTCAATGACAGTAATAGCGTAGATAGATATTATTATTGCTATAATCATAATTATAGTATTCCTGATCATTGTCATGATATCAACTAGTGTATCCTGTAAAATTCCTCAGTATTAAATTGTTCATCAGGATGCCGATAGACACTGATTGATTTCAATTGAACATAGCCATTCGGCATTAATTCAGAACTTAAATAACCATAAATTAGCCTAAAATTGATCTCAATTCGGCAACAATTCAGATGCTGATAGACGTTGATCATCAGAAATCTGGATCTCTAAATCAAATTCATTATAATCATATAAAATTTCTTGCTTTGATTCAGAATCATTATTACTTTCTCTGGATTCAGGGGAAAAAATGTGCCATTCTATGTTTTTTTCTTTTATACTAATATTTTTATCTTCATCATCAGCCACATCTATTTCAGTAAGATTAATGATGAAACACTTAGTAGTCTCTTCATCATACATTCGAGATAATGCATCAATATTTGTGTTATGTTCTATCAGATCTGTTTCTTTATAATTAATGTATTTATTTATAAGCTCAGTAAGCTTAGCATCTTTTACTTGTATTATGTTATTAAAGTTGGAAAGAGTCTAGAGGAGACGTTCTTTTTTAGCTTTATATTTTAAAAGATTTTGTCTCTATAAATAATATTAGGCATTATTGAATACATTTTACAAAGTATTTATATAATTTATGAGTTTACTTACCAACTCGCATTCCTCAACAATTTCTAGCTAATAAGTTTCCAAACAGTTGCGTTCTATCTCTACCTGTTGTGAGTGTTAGCAGTGCATACTTATTTAATACAGGAAGGTAATATAAACCATTTCTCCTCCGAGATCAGTAGACCATCACCAACAAAGTTAGAGTGCACAAGCAGTAAAAATTGAGATAGTTACCAGCAATGAAAGCTCAATAATTCTCTTAGTCAGGATGAGACCCAAATATGAGTTGCCCTTCCTTGCAAAATAAAAAAAAACACACCTTATTTTTTATATTTATAAAATTACTTTCATCTAACTTTAGTGTTTCCTTTAAAAATAGACAGGACCAGTAGTCATTGAGGTCCTTCCAATAAGGAATTTGTAGAATCAACAATTATGTTTCAGTATTAGAGTAGGAATCCACAATAAGATTTGTTCCTTTGCTTTTTTAGATAATCTATAAGAGCTAGAAAATCAAAAGGTTGGTTAAAAGCTGAATTTTACTATAGAAAAATAGCAAGTTATAAATCTTACTGTTGTATCTAGCGTATACTTCTAGTATTAATATGTTCAAACATTTTTATTACATTGTTATTTGAGAATAAGAAATAGGATAATCATTTTAAAGTAAAGTCTTATATAAGTCTGATCTGATTGCGTTAAAATTTATGATCACGTGATCTATTTATCAAGTGATTTATGCCGATCACCTTGATTGATACGCAAAGATAATGAAATGAAGTCTGAAATTTTGTGGAATTTCTTTATAAGGTGACAATTTCTTTTATATTATTCTATTATAAAAATATATATATCGCATATACAGTAGCTTTTTTATCAAAATAACCTTTTATTTGCTTTATTAATATAGATTAAATTATATCTGGTTGATTTCAGGAGAGTAATTTGAATAATTAAAATGTCGAAAAATCATTATTAACGAACTATAGAGTTACATGAAATTCAATTTAGGTGAAAAATAAAATAGATTATTGTAATACTAATTAGCATTACCAATTACAAATATTTACTAATTCTTTTTTTATCATTGTTTCTATAAGTATATCTTTATTCATTACTTCTATTTCCTCTTTCTCCTCTTAAACTTCTTTTCCTCTTCTTTCAAATTTTTATCTTCTTCAGTAAGTGTTATAATGCCTTTTACTAATCAATTTAAAAAGGATTTAACATTTGACTCAATTTCTTTCATATAGTAATCTTTATAATACCTACATCTATATTCTAAATATATAAGGCTATTCCAATAATAACTATGATCACAAATTAATATTTCACTATTATATATAATTCAGATAATACAATTCTAAAAGTAGTAACAATGTATAAATCTGATTTGAATTGGATAATAATAAGCTATAAATACTAAATTTTGCATGTAAATTAGGAATCTGATTTTTTGACAAATTAGAAATAATATTAGCTATTATTCTATATCATGAGTATTAAATTTTTTATAAATAGCACTCAGAATTTCAATTAATATCTATTGGAAAAAATGATCAAAATATAATTCTTAAAATTTGATACTTATATTTTAGTATATTTGAATCTGAAAAGCTTATTGAGTTAGAATTAAAAAATGAAAATTATAATTTGCAATAAGACTGCTTAATATTAGTAATTTCAGTATAGGTAAAAATAATTATATTACTGCAATTACTTATCATCTTTTCACTTTAGCAAAATATTCTAAATTTAATCAAACTTTATATAAAGGTAATGCATTTAAGCTTAAAAATAGTAATAACAATTCATCTCAAATTTGCTTTGCTTATAATGAAATATTAGTTTATTTTATAAAATAAACAATATTATTAGTAAAGATACTTTTAAAAGTAATATTAAAGTAATCTAGTTTAAAAGAAAACAGGTTAAGTTACTTTAATTAAATATCTAAAAAATGTATTTATATTATAGATACTTACTGATACTTTTTCAAAATAATTTTGTCATACTCTTTTTTATGATTTAATATAGTTTTAACAGTTTTAGCTTTCGTTGTATTGAAAGGATTTTATTATATCCCTTATTATAATTTTAATATAGTTTCGTCTAAGTTTTGACAGTTATTAAGGAGTTTTGTCCCTCATCATCAGTGTGTAAAATTCATGTGCACAATGTGCACATGTGCATATTAAATTTTTATGTGCACATATTACACAGCATAAAATATGCACAAATAATTACTAAAAATAGATAAATTATATATAAAAATGGATAAATTATTTATAAAAATGGAAATACTATATAATACATGCATTAATTTTCTATTTTTAGTATAACTTGTGCATATGACTTTTGGTCTAAATTTTATATACTGCTCATCATTAATTTATATTCTATAATAAATGAATTATTAATTTATAAAAAGAAGCTTTATTAAAATTAGTAAATAACTTGATTATTATTTTTAATATAGAAAATATTTTAAAATATCCAATTTTTCAAGAATATATTCCACTTGAATTAAATAAAAAAGTTGTAAAAAATTTATTACATATTTTCCTGATAGTTTAAAATAATTTCATAAAATATACTTATAAGTATTAAAATATAATTCTATTAGAAGACAATTTACTTAAAATAAAAGAACTAAATATTATAAGTATTTAAATATAACAAAAATAATAAAAAAGCAAAATTATTTCAAATCAATTTAAAATCATAATTAGAATTAGTAAAATCATAAATATCTAATATATTAAATTTGTATTCATCTAAAAAAATAAAAGATATTATCTCATAAAGAAAAGATTTTATTAAAACTAGTAGTTTATATAAATAAGTATAAAAATGTATTACATTAGCTTAAAAATAATAAAATAAAAGAAAAGTATATAAATAGTAAAACTATTGTAATAGAAAATTAACAAATAAATAAAACTTATTATAAATAAATTCATAAATAAATTTATAATAGTTGCATTTAAAATTTGAAAACTTTAAATTTTTAGTTTTAAACTAATAAAAAGTAAAAATTCTATTTTTATAAAAAAGTTACATATTTAAAAATATAATGTAAGATTACTAATATAACTAATATAACTTAAAAAAAGTCTTTAAATAATCAAATAAAAGAATAATATATTTTACCAAAAATAAGCACATTTCAAAATAAGTACAAATATATTTATCCAGAATTTGAAAATAGCAAATTTGTAAAATTTATTGTAAAAATTTAACCAGATATATTATAAATATAAAATAATATTTACAAAAGAAATAAGTTATTATAACTTATTAAAAGTATTATCATTAAAAACTTTATCATTAGTTTCTAATTCTATTATATTGATTTTCAATTTTATTTCTTCATCAACTTTTAATCTATCAATCTTAATTTTTGATTCTTTCTATCTATATCAGAATTTATCAGTGAATCTATTATATAATACTTCTTAAAAGATTCAATAATAATTTCATTAGAAATTTTCTTTTATGATTGCTTAACCTAATCACATACATCAATTATTTTAACATAGTAAAGGTTTCTGTTAGCAATATTTTCAACACTGCTACTTGTTATTTACAGATACTAATCTTTTCAGAAGTTATCCTTAAATAGCTTATTTATTATAACATTGAGAAGCTAGCAGATATTTATTAATCTACCAAAAATTACTGCTAAATAAATATTACTTTTGTGAAACTTATTTTTGACTGATATTTCTAGGTGACCTTTGAATAAGTCATATACTAGCATTGTTAGATTTCCAAATCTATTATCATTAAAGTAATTAATATAATTTTTCATCAAATTAATATCTATTTATCTATTCTTCTAGAATTAAACTATTATACCAGAAGAAATATTTTCTTTTTCATTATATACTAATCTCTTTCCTTTAAATATGCAAATAGGAGGTAACTTATTCTCATCTTATTAAGTAAATATAAATTTAGTAAGATTAAAAATTACAAAATTTGCAGAAACTTCTAAAATATATAAATAAAGACAAAATTTCAAAAAATTATTAGCAGTACATGTAAGAATAATTGTAAATTGATTTTTTCATTTCTGGTTTCATGAATATATACCTTTTTTTATCTTTTTGATTAACTGTAAAATTACTTATTATATTGAATTAAACAGGTGTTTTATCTATATTATAAATATCACACATTTTAAAAGACTTTTTATCCTAAATTGGGTAATAAATCTATTAAAACTCTTTAGCAATTCTTTAGTATATTCTGAAAGTTTCTAAGATATTTTTGTATATCAATATAATACTAGCCTATATCTTTTTAAAAATTTATGTAACCAGCTAAGTGACACTTTAAAATTATTTTATTGAATTATAAATAATTGTTATACTTGATTTACTTAAAATTTTCTT